CTTCGAATATTTTTTTATAAATAAAACGTTAAATAAATTACTGTAGGTTTGTCAAACAGAATTACGTATTAGAAGTCCTTAATGTTTTTATGTCGAATAATAAATAAATAATAATAAATAAATATTTACTAACGATCACGCCACGTTAACTGGTCCCGTGATAAGTTCGTAAAGAACTTGTGTTACAGGTACCAGATAACGGAAATAAATGTAAGATTTTTATTATACACATACATATATTTAACTAGCTGACCCGGCAAACATTATTTTGCCATATATAAGATTTCTAGGGAATTTCTAGTGTAGAAAAAAAAACTAACTTATTGTAAGTGTGTAAGGATGTGGTAAATGAGTGAAAGAGGTATGTAGTGCTGTGAACGATGAGGGAATATATAATAAAATAACAAAACCTCATTCAACCACATAAATACCTCATTATAACAAAAAAAAATGTCCAAAAAAATGGGGGTGGACTACCCCTAACATTTAGGGGGATGAAAAATAGATGTTGGCCGATTCTCATAGATACCGTCTAAGCACAAAAAATTTCATCAAAATCGGTCAAGCCGTTTCGGAGGAGTATGGCAACGAAAACTGTGACACGAGAAATTTATATATTAGAAGATATACATCCATAACCCTGGAAAAGAAATTTATATTTATCATACACATATCTTCCCTTGGCGGGATTCGAACCCGCGACCCCCTTGTGTAGTGACCATGTCACTTACCAGTACACCAGACGGCCGTAATGAAGCCATTGTGAATTTCAGTGACGTTTGCGAGCGAGTATCATATTGTAAGCAGGGTTGCTTTATCCCAAGCGGATCCCATAAACACCATACTAAGAATGCCTCCGTCTAGGTATGGGGATTAGAAGTTTTAATTGCATTCCGGCTATATATTGGAGTCGGGACGTAAGGCTGGTCCTCGGACTCATAACACGCAAGCACAGTAATTACGGAAACTCATTAATTTTGCGGGTTTGATATTTAGGTCATAGTGGTCGTTTGTGATTCTCCAAAGCATTCGCGTGGACTTTTCAGATCTTGTTTGGTAGGTTTTTTTATTGCTCTTGTAAGTAGGCGTTGTAAGTTTTCTTTATTCTTTATTGTACACACACAGTTAATGCAATATAATAATTGCGAAAAGTTATAAAAATGACGAGCTTAACTCAACAATTGAGTTATCTACCAGCTAACCGTTCTTAATGAGGGTGAGCTTTACATAGGTTATATCTCAAGATGGTTGGCGGATTACGTTGTAGATGTCTATAGGCTCCAGTAACCACTTAGCACCAGGGGGGCTGTGAGCTCGTTCATCTAAGCAATAAAGAAAAGGCATCCCTATTGGCTTCATTATGCCGGGGTTCGCTACGATCTCCAACTGCAAGCTCAGAAGAAGGAATGAACAGTTCCTTCCCCTGACGTGCTTAAGTCGAAGCTACCACCCTACTACGTATTACTAAAGCAAATGGCTAAGTTTGGTATGTTTAATTTTAGTCACTCAATCAGGTATAAAGGGATTCGGACCAAATTTCGCACGTAAATAGTTCAAGACCTGGATTTACATTTGGATACTTTTTTTTGCTTAGATGGACGGAGTTACAATAATAGTAAATAAATAAATAGCTGAGAACAAATCACGCACGGTCATCCGACCCCAAATTAGGATTGCCTTGTTTGTGGCTACCTGACAGTGACATACATACTTATGTACTTGGAAATATATACATAATATATAGTTTTTTTTTTTTATAATATATTGCGCGTTCCCCTGACGAGTAATTGTCAGGGACATTTTTTAGGCTATTTTGCTATTTTTCCAATTATCTTTTTTTTTAGTATTTGTAATTTTGGGTTCATGTTTCGTTTTCCATAATTATATAATATTCGTTTCTGTTCCCTTCTTGTACTTATACTTTAATTCCCTTATATTTTACTTATATGCTTATTATTATACATTTTATTTCTTCACTTTTTTCCGATATAATATATAGAGATTAAACATCCAGATAAAGAGCAAACAAGCTCGCTTATCCCACGAATGTTTGCCCGATGTAGGAATCCAACTCATGACCCTCGGTGTAACAGTCAGGGGTGCTAATCACTGTACCACCAAGTCGGTCTAGTCAATAATAGGCACGAATTAAATCATTGTACTGCCAAAATCGTGGCAGCCCTGAGCAATTAAAAAAAAACAAATGCAACACGAACCCGAACTCAAACAAAACGGTTAGTAATAAACGTTGAATGGAGTGTTAAACATAAATTGTGCGGAACATTAAGCCGGGCTTAACCTTAGCAAATTAATTATGGGCTTTTGCAACGGGAAAAGCTCGTTTATACGGTAAACTAATGTGCTCGGTACAGTTTGTTCCGCGTGGCTGTGTGGTTCGTGGAGAGCAACGCGGCAACCCTACACTTAAAAAAAAACTACGTGTGGTACTCGGGTACTGCCGCGGTAAAGCTATTGCATAGCGTTTTTTTATCAACTTATGCAATTATAATTAGACAATAATAATTTAATATTAAAACAATAATAAAATAAGACCACGCTATATTTATAAACATTAACAAAAGCAAAAAATTGACTGTCCCCTTCACACTCATAAGCTAGAACGCGCGCGAGAAAGATGGGCAGACTTTTCATAATGCGCATGCAGTGCGACGTCACGCCGCGCGCTTATTCACAAACACTACACAAGTGCAACGTGTGTGTTGAACGCGAGCTACATGGCGGACTGGTGGGTTTTAGGTTTTATTTTCGTTACGGAATTTTTTGATTCGGTCTCCGCGCTCAAAGCTCGCGATAAAAACTATGCAATACCTTAAAAACATAACAAATTTATTGAAACTTTATTGAATGTATTACAAAACGTTGAAAAAAAAAACATTTTTATGACACAAAAGTTATTATGTTTGTTTTATTTGCATCGTGTCTTTTTATAGGGAAGGATTTTAGTGTATTTGTTATCTTCGAAAAGTGATAACTGATCGTTGTCGGATTGTTGTTAGTTTGTTTAATTATTTAATTGTTTAATTTGATTTTCAGCGGTCGAAATACGCACGTTTCATCACTACTTTTCGACTGGTTTTTTGCGACCTGAAAACTACTTTTTTATTTTTTTTATTGCTAATTGGGTGGCGGAGCTCACAGTCCACCTGGTGTTAGGTGGTTACTGGAGTCCATAGACATCTACAACGTAAATGCGCCACCCACTTTGAGATATAAGTTCTAAGGTCTCAAGTAGTTATTATTATATATTAATACGTGAAGTAAAAACTTTGTATACCTTTTTACGAAAATTGCGCGGACGGAGGAGTATGAAATTTTCCACACTTATAGAGAATATAGAGAAGAAGTGCACAATGCTAATTTTTTTTTTATTATGCATAAAAGATATATTAAATCAATAAAGAAAATACTATGTATTTGACGCACACACGCATGCATACTATTTATTGTCAAACTTTTGTTCTTGAAGTCTGTTGTCAAATTGAGAATATGTATAAATATTGTTTGTCTTTGTTAATATTTTTTATAGTGTAGTCTTGGCGAAATTTGTGATTATATTAAGTATAAAATACAATCATAATAGTGTACAAACTTACAATTCCAATTAATTATAGTCGAATTTCGACTACTGCGGGACCTCTAGTTATTATTATTCACCGCATCAGTGAAATAAAACTCGGACAATAAACAAAGAATACACAATTCAAACCGTATAATGTAACATACTCGTGTCTCACACCATATTTGCAAAGCAAACGCTCATTTGCTGAATAAAGAATTACAGTCTTTGCCCGGTTTATTTACACACTCGCCAATTTAACTTAAGCTATTGTACAACACAAGAAATTCATTCAATTTTTTTTTTTATTGCCTTTGGAGGCAGACGAGCATACGGCCCACCTGATGGTAAGTGGTCACCGTCACTCATGGACGTCAGCAATGCCAGCGGCAGAGCCAAGCCGCTGCTACCATTAAGTACTCTCCGCAAGCCTCGTTTGGAGAAGGACATGTCATAGCGCTCGGAAAACACCGTGGAGGAGAGTTCACTCCAAAGCCGGATGGTACGTGGCAAAAAAGATCTTTGGAAACGCACTGTCGATGAACGCAGCGGTTCCAGATAATATGGAGTGAATAGTTGAGATGTTGCAAGAAAATAAAATATCGTTGACTACCGGAATCCGTGTGCATTATAACGACGGTCCAAGGTTCAACTGTATAATGACTAATCCACACTCCAAAACGCATGACAGCTCCGCGGTAGAATTGAGAAGAGTGGTGGTACCTACCCGTGCGTGCTCACAAGAATTTAATTTATTTTTAATACGCTTTTATTAGCTTCAGACGTATGTATGTTTTTAACGGAATCTATGAACATGATTTTGACCCCCTTCAAAACGTCGGATGAACTCGAAATTTGGTATACTTATAAAGAACTGATGACAACTCAATATTTAAAAAAAATGAAAAAATTGAAATTCAACTAAAAAATGAAAAATAAATAATAGTTTAAAAAAACTAACAAACTACGCTTTTATAGAAAATCCAACTAAAAAATAGAACATAAATTTTAATAAATTTGAATTAAAAATAGTGTAAGAAAAAATGATTTTATTGTAAAAAAGCGTGGGGTGCTTTTCAGGATATTATCAAAATAACCCTTCTACTGATATCTGTTCATAAAATATTTATAACTACTGATACCATGCACCCCACGCTTTTTGTATGTATACATTTGATATATATACATTTAGTTTATGTTACACAAAGAAGTCGTTCGTGGACGTGTGTTTAGTACGTATTTTATTTCAAAAAATAGTTACATTTTTGCGGGATTCGAACATCGGCACGGTTGCATCACTCGATACGAATAGACCGAGCATCTTATCTTTTAAGCTATGTCGACTTCAAAATGTATTTGTACCGTCTGTAACGAATTCTCCGCGGCCGTAACAATGATGACTGATTAACCCTCTTTGTCTCAGGTTTCGTGGATCAGAAGAAAAGACTACCATCTACTGACCGTCGGCTTGACAACATACAGCTCAGACCAGAGATTCCAAGCGATACACCTACAGCACTCTGAGGTAAATAAAGAAACATTCATCATTGTATTTTATTGACAGAAAGGCTTAACAATTCACGTTGCAGTCACTTACTTTAAGTGGGGTCTTTCATGAGACTCCTAGTGGTAAAGGCAGAAAGAGCGTAATCCTGTAGGTCAGCTGTATTGTAAGGGAGGAGGTAATAGTCGCTCAAGGATACTAGTGGTGCGTAAAGTATTGTTTTATCAAGAAAGTTAACATTATTAACCTGATTTATCGCGGTGGGTGGGACGAAGCGAGTCGACCCAGGATTCATTGGGACGAGCAATGTCTCTATCGTCCAGTCCCAGTGAGGGTAAGGTGAGGGAAGAGTAGGTTAATTTTTCGCTTCAACCTGGCCCGCGAGGTCTTTGCTAACATTATATGTTGCATTGTGATAAATGAGAGTGGACTGTATTTATTGCTTTTGAGTAATTTTTTGGTCTTTATGTGACAAATTGAAGATTGAATATAACAGAAATGTGAAATCGATGCGTTGCTCTTGGCGGCTGGAATTGAAAGGGGGCAAAAGTGTCATAGCGGACGTCACTAGTTGACACTTTTGACGTTCCGAAATCAAACATACTCATATATAAATAATAAATATACTGGTGCTAGGACCTCTTGTGAGTCCGCGCGGGTAGGTACCAGCGGCCTGCCTATTTCTGCCGTGAAGCAGTAATGCGTTTCGGTTTGAAGGGTGGGGCAGCCGTTGTGACTATACCGCCACCCACCTTGAGACATAAGTTCTAAGGTCTCACTTAGAACTTATGTCTCAAGGTGGGTGGCGAATTTACGTTGTAGATGTCTATGGGCTCCAGTAACCACTTAACACCAGGTGGGCTGTGACCTTGTCCACCCATATAAGTAACAAAAAAAAAAAAAAAGAACTAAAATTTAACGTATTGAATCAATTGAAATGGGGTTGTTTTATTACCAAAGCTAACAAATTCCCATTTGGTTACATCACACGCATTAGCCTTGTTTCTTGTTCGCCGTCCGTTCACGCACAGACTCCAGGATACAAATCTTGAATCAAAACTCCCCGTAGACTCTGAAAAGGCCGTATATTTTCAATCACCGAGAATCAATGATTTATTAAATAGCTGGGAACGGTGTGCCGCAAAAAAACGCGTCACGGTTTCAAAGAAATAGAGCATTCATTCACTACGAAATTGAAACATAGTGTTTATCATTATTTTATTTTGACTCGCTAACAATTTTCGTACACAATGATAAATAGTCAAACAAATTATCTGTTTAATTGTTTTATTTATTTCTTTTATTTATTGCTTATATGGGTGGACGAGCTCATGGCCCACCCGATTTTAAGTGGTTACCGGAGCCCATAGACATCTACAAAGCAAATGCTGCCGCCCACCTTGAGACATGAGTTGTTAAGTCTCACTTTTACAATACAACTGCCCACCCCTTCAAACTGAAACACATAACTGCTTAACGGCAGAAATAGGTAGGGTCGTGGTACCTACATCAACATTACAAAATAATCATTAGGATATATGAACACGTTGTATCGGAAGAAATCACCGAATGTCAGGCTAAAAATAATCAGATACAAAAATATATATTTTAAGTACATACTGTCTTTAGAATCGAAATAAATGGGTTATTATACATGATTACTGAACATAATAATATATGTAGTTGTGTGGGAACAGCGGGGCGTCTAAAAACTACATTCTTATTATTCCTTTATTACCTTTATTACCTTCTTATTAGTATACTAGCGACCCGCCCTCGCTTCGCTTCGGAAACATTAAAACACAAATGAAACCAAACAAAAAAAAATTTTTTTTTTTTAAAAAGTAGCCTATGTTCATCAGGGACAATGTCGGCTTCTAATGGAAAAAGATTTTTTCAAATCGGTCCAGTAGTTTCGGAGCCTATTCGAAACAAACAAACAAACAAATCTTTCCTCTTTATAATATTAGTATAGATACTTAGTCTTGCCATAAATTTAAAAATATATCGGAGAGGCCACAATTATTAACACCATCGTCAGACTTCATAGGGGCGAAATAGGGCGATCGAGCTGAGAGAAATATTAAGTACACCAATCACGTTTGTTTTCTTGTCGTTAGCAAACAAAAACGAATGACAGTTCTTAGGACAGAGGCACCACTCTTCAAGAAGGCTGGATGGTAAGTGTGATGGCGTCTACGCGCCTCCATCGGCTAGGCCCTGTCGTAGCACGAAGTTAGCCGAGTAAAAACTTTTTTTTTTTTTTCTTTTTTTTTTTTACTGCTTAGATGGATGGACGAGCTCACAGCCCACCTGACGTTAAGTGGTTACTGGAGCCCATAGACATCTACAACGTAAATGCGCCACCCACCTCGAGATATAAGTTCTAAGGTCTCAGTATAGTTACAACGGCTACCCCACCCTTCTAACCGAAACGCATTACTGCTTCACGGCGGAAATAGGCGGGGTGGTGGTACCTACCCGCGCGGACTCCCAAGAGGTCCTACCACCAGTGATTCTGTTTTAAAAACTTAACTGACAGACAGTGTAGCTGTTGGAACAATGAAAAAGGAGAACTTAAAGCATCTTTGAATCACGATATCTCTTATGCAACACTTTAATGAAACAAAGCTCCAAATTAGTTTTTGTCTATTCGTGAAAGCTTCATGAAAATCTTTTGAGTAATTCCGGAGATATGCGCGAATCAAATCGACGTACAGAAAATGATTCGTAAAAATGCTGGTCTTTATGTTCTATTAATCTTATATTACCCTTTCTATTTTTATTACTTTTGTTCAGTCTACAAATATATCGGATTTATACTCTTTCATTATATATTGAAAATTTTCATTTTATTGACTTTATTTTGTTATTCACTTGTAACTACTCTGCATTAATTTCATTATCATCATCTTAGGCCTTACAACCCAGGGTGGGCCTTAGCCTGGTCCAGTATGTCTCTCCAGACTGCTCTGTTCAAGGCTTTCTCCTTCCAGTCCCTGACACCGATCACTTTGAGGTCGCGCTCCACGCCATCCAACCATCGGAGTTTGGGTCTGCCACGACTTCTGCGGCCCTCTGGTTTGCTATAGTTGTCTCAGCATTCTGGTATTCTCCATTCGAACCACGTGTCCTGCCCATCGTAGGCGTCCAATTTTTATAGTTATTATGATATTAGGATCTTTGTAAACATCATACAACTCGTGGTTATACGGCGTCCTCCATATCTCGTTTTCCTGTACAGCACCAAATATCCGTCTAAGGATCTTACGCTCGAACACAAGTAAACGGTTCTCATTCTTTTTGCTGAGTACCCATGTCTCTGAGCCATAAATAAGAATGTATCTCAGTAGGGTCTGCATTCATTTGTACGTGTAAAATATGGTGCTCATTTCTTAAATATTGTGACCACTTATAGATTGAAAAAGGTTATTTCTTGCCAAATTACCATGGCGTCACAGCATTAGCATACCGAATTTTCTAAAATGGACCAAAAAGCATATTTAAGTGGATTAGGGTCGGGATTCTAGTCTAGTCTAGTCGATGGCCAGTTGGATCAACTCTGATCTCAGCAAGGTTACTACTTTTCAAGCACACAAGCGGATCAAGCTTTATAACCAGATATTCAATTTTGCTGAAAGTATAATTCTTTTGAACTACGTTTTTTTTTTTATTGTGCGCAATATATACTGCATTATAGAAGTCATTTGTGAGAATTTGTCGCGATATTTTTTTAAAGTAGGTATAGGTTTTAAGGCTTCGGACGCACATTTCTTATCAAAAATCAAGACTGTATTTACAGTAATACCGTATTTAAAATGAATGTTGTCCGATTTTCATTTAATTTTGTTCGTAATTAATGGATTCGTATAACCGTTTTTTTTATTGAGTTCATCAGGTAATTGTTCACACTTCAGGACTTTTATTATAGTATTAATACGTACGCGGGTAGTTCCAACGAATTAACATTTTTCATCCATTTTGTGAATACCACAAATAAATAGGTTAACATAAATAATAAATGTAAGTATTCAACTAGCTGGTATAATAGGAATAATTGATATAGCGCTAGTTTAATTAATGATCATTATTAAAAACGTTATATATTATAAATAGTAACGTTACATATTATAAATTGATATAGCGCCAGATAATTAATAATAAACATGGCGCGTAACGGAAGAAATTAAGATGGCGCGTAACCGAAAAACGTTACATACGCTTTTTCCTCCCTACGTCGATAAAGAAGTTTCACTTCAATAATTATTAAAAACGTTGAAATTATAATTCTAATCGAATTTCCTCATCTCTGACAAGGGTTATGCTTCCAGGACTGGACGCTGAAGGTTCGCTTCGTACAAAAAAGGGATGCAGGGGTTTACGAGTGTCAAGTGTCATCTCATCCGCCAACAAGTATCTTCTTGCGTCTCGATGTTGTTGGTAAGAATACATTTTTTAAATTCGATTGATTCTGTAGTGCAGTAAGCGCCTCTGACTGTTGCGCCAAGGGTTGTGGGTTCGATTCCCACATCGGGCAAACATTCTTGTGATGAACAGATTTGTTTGCTCTTTGTCTGAGTGTTTATTATTTATATGTATTTATTTTAAACAAAAGTACATAGATTAGTATCTATGTCAGTTTATGGTACCTATAACACAGGGAACCTTGTATTGGGGTCCGATGATCTTGCGTGATTTGTTCCGAGTTATTTTTATAAATTTTTTGTCAATTCACCATATTTGTAGAATTATTTAAAAAAAAAGTGGTTTAAAAGACGTGCAACACGGGAGATTGGCGAGATAACAGTAGAATGTTTCAATGAGAAATAGCGTTCCCCGAAAATAGCCCTGTAGATCTTCACCTATATATCCGCAGCAAAATCTCTACTACTCCTAGAGTGAAGAGAAGAACTGATAGTTGATAAACATAAAGAAAAAAAAACGCTTAATGAATTATTGTAATTTTAATTATTCATGCATTGCATTTGGCGAATTCGCAACGTATTTCTTTAACCGAGCCTATATCGGTCGGGGTGATACCACATACTTTGAGCCCGCACGGCGAGGTTCCACATCCTGCCCATTTCTACCGAGAAACAATGATACGTAGTGCTTTGAAATACGGGACATTAATTGTTCAATCTATATAATAATACGTAAAGCAAAAACTTTGTGCCCCTTTTTATGAAAATTGCGCGAACGGAGGAGTATGAAGTTTCCCAAATTTATAGAGAATATAGAGAAGGAATGCAGAATGTTATTTTTTTTTAATTATGCATAAAAATACATTAAACCAATAAAAGAAGACATTAAACACATTATATATATATATATATATATATATATATTTACTAACAATCACGCCACGTTAACTGGTCCCGTGATAAGTTCGTAAAGAACTTGTGTTACAAGTACCAGATAACGGAAATAAATATAATATTTTTATCATACACATACATATATTTAATATACACCCATAACCCTGGAAAGACATTTATATTTATCATACAAATTTCTTCCTTTGGCGGGATTCGAACCCGCGACCCCCTTGTGTAGTGACCATGTCACTTACCACTACACCAGACGGTCGTTTAAAACCATGTACTTGACACATACACGCATGCATACTATTTGTTTACTTTTACCAATGTTACCAATAGACCCTTAATAATGTTGAAACTTATAATGTCAATGAATTACAGTCGAATTTCGACTACTGCGGGACCTCTAGTACAATTAAAAATACGTCATGGCTTAAATGACAAGACGCCCGGTGCATTCGTGTCGAGCGACCTGACTATGCCGGTATTCAAACCTCGCAGACGGCTACCAATTTTTCTAATGAAATACGTACTTAATAAATGTTCACGAAGGATCACCATGGTAAAGGAATAACGTCGTGTAATATACGGAACCCGTAAAAATGGTAATTTGCGTAATTACTGGTAGTAGGACGTGTTGTGAGCCCACATGGGTAGGTTAACCAAAACCATCCCTATTTTTTGCCTTGAAGCACTTATGCGTTTTGGTATGAAGGGTGGGGCAGTAATTGAACTATAAAGCTGAGATTTATAACTCATATCTCAAGTCGCGTGGTGGTATTTAAGTTGTTAATATCTATGTACTCTGTTAACTAATTAACATCAAGTAATACATACCTATCAAAGAGAGCGCTGATCTGGAAAGTGTCTGGCAAAAGGAAGAGAGGCCGCCCCAGAACAACTTGGCGTCGCTCGGTGGAGCAGGAGCTAGGGGTCTTGGGCACGACGTGGTAGGAGCTAGAACAGACTGCCCAAGACCGATATAAATGGAAAAATTGGATTCGAGCCCTACACCCCAGCAGAGGGTAATAGGAAAGAATGATGATGATGATGAATACATGAGCTCATCCGCGCATCAAAGCAATAAAAACAATTGAGATTTTGACCTATTATTTCTAAGTGAGTGGCGGCATTAACCTTGATGTCTCGATCCACTCAAAACCACTTTAACTGTGATCCGCCCTTCAACTGTAATAAAACCCACAACTCGAGATAAGATAGAAGTGGAAACACAATGCTGAGAACACACGAAAACCAAAAAGGAAAAAGCACACAATTAAGGGTCGCGCTCGCAGAACTTTTTACTTTGTAATATTTTTACGGGGTCCGTAACAATTATACTGCCTCGGCTTCGCATCCTACGCGGGAAATACTTAATTAGGTTAAAATAATATTAATTTTCACGAAAGCATAATTCCGGTGTGTGTTTTTTTCCCCTCCTTAGTAACCTTCTGTTGTTTGATCAAATGGATGTAATTGATAGGATCTGAATACGCAAATAAGATTATCGGGAATAAAAAATCGAGCGGAAAATTTTGGAGGCGTTGCGTAATAAAGAGTACCTAATTTGAAATCGGGTTAAAGCAAACGTTGAGGACATAAACTTTATGCCAGCGCAGTAAATGTCGTCATCTTTAATGTTATTACCACGAAGCAGTAATGTAATGATTTGATGGACGAAATAGACTTGCGATACATCTGAGACTTCAATTTCTTTGATTTGTGTGATAAACATGATATTTTGTCGTTGTCTGGAAACTTAATAACTATATAATATATCATCATAGTCGGCTACTCTTGGCAGAGCAGTCGTGGTCATGTGGAATTCTTGCTCATTAAAGCCTTGACAGATGTTTTCCATAGTTCGCGAACTGAGGCTTGGTGCTAGCACTCGTTAAGTGGGGTTTCAGTAAGATCTTTCACCTGATCAGTCCAGCGCATGGGGATTCGTCCACGAGATCTCTTACCATTGACCCTACCCTGAACAACAAGTTTCTCGATAGACTCTGCTGTTCGTCGCGATACGTGTCCAAAATATCGAAGAATCCTGGATTGCACTGTTGACGACAACCTTTGAGTGATATTTAGTTCTTTTAGGATCGAGGCGTTGGTGTGATGCTCAGTCCAAGATATACGGAGCGTCCTTAATAATATATATATATATATATATAGATTGAAAAAAAAGATATATAATATATTTATGGTTCCCATAATACAGGTAATCCTAGATTGTCTTATTCCCAATCCTTTCATCGGACGATGATGGAATCAAAAAAGGGCATTGACATTTTTCTTTAATTGATTATAATCCATTCCAAAGAATAGGCTATATGATTTGCAGAACTTTTTTAATGAAAGTAATATTTAATTAGCAATACTGTAAACAAATATATTTGACCTTTTTTACCCTCTAATGTTATCATTGGCTTCATTTGAACAGAAAATTTGGCCTAAATTTTTATTTACTCTGTGAATTACTCTGTCAGTTGTCCTATGATATTTATTGATAACATAAAAAACCTTTTTGTAATTACAACTCAAAGCGTGAAATTAGACATGACATTTTGAAGTCGTCGTGGCCTAAGGATAAGACGTTCGGTGTGTGTGTTCGAATCCCAGGCGGGTACCAATTTTTCTAATGAATTACGTACTCGATAAGTGTTCATGATTGACTTCCACGGTGAAGGAATAGCATCGTGTAATAAAAGTGAAACCCGCAAAATTATAATTTGCGTAATTCCTGGTGGTAGGACCTCTTGTGAGTCCGCGCGGGTAGGTACCACCGCCCTGCCTATTTCTGCTGTGAAGAAGAAATGCGTTTCGGTTTGAAGGGTGTAGCAACCGTTGTAACTATACTGAGATCTTAAAACTTATATCTCAAGGTGAGTGGCGCATTCACGTTGTAGATGTCCATGGGCTCCAGTAACCACTTCAAACCAGGTGGGCTGTGAGCTCGTCCACCCATCTAAGCAATAAAAAAAAAAACTTGAATACTTTAGATAGTTATTTATCGATGCGGTGTATGACAATTCGAACGTGCTTCCATAGATATCTTACTTAGGTCGTAGAAAAAAATAGAGATTATTTATTAAAGGAGTAACATTAACAAAAACGTGATACTGAAGTATAATGACACATGTTAAAAAAAAAATACGCAATGGCTCCGCTTTAAGCTAATATTAAACATAAAAGTTTAATTAAAAGTTAAAATTGTATTATACTTTGACGGTTGGAACTTTTTAGAGCTGTCATGTCATGTTTGTCACAAGCATAAACTCGATTACTTTGTTATTAGATAGTTTACCAAAACTTTGTAAGCAACTTCGAACATTTTAAAATATCTCCCCAAAACTGAACAACATTTTGCTAACAGCTAGAGTCGTCCATAAGAAGACTTCTTGCCGAAGTAAATTTAAGATTCATAAATTGGCTATCAAAAAAATACGAAATAGATACAGCAAAACTGTTTCTTAATATTCGAAAGGAACAATTTAGAATATCTCCCCAAAACTGAACACCATTTTGCTAATAGCTAGAATCGTCCATAAGAAGACTTACTTGCCGAAGTTAATTTAAGATTCACTAGTGCACTAAATTGGCAGTTTTTTTTTATTGCTTGGATGAGTGGACGAGCTCACAGCCCACCTGACGTTAAGTGGTTACTGGAGCCCATAGACATCTACAAAGTAAATGCGCCACCCACCTTGAGATATAAGTTCTAAGGTCTCAGTATAGTTACAACGGCTGTCTCACCCTTCAAGCCGAAACGCATTACTGCTTCACGGCAGAAATAGGCGGGGCGGTGGGGTACCTACCCGTGCGGACTCACAAAAGGTCCTACCACCAGTAATTACGCAAATTATAATTTTGGGGGTTTGGTCTTTATTACACGATGTTATTCCTTTACCGTGGAAGTCAATCGTGAACATTTTTATCAATCTATCAAAAAAATACGAAAAATAGACACGACAAACATGTTTCTTAATATTTTTCACGCTTGTTCTAACGGGTGAGCAGGGCTACCACTGCTATTTCTGTTACATTTCACGGTACATTACAGTACTGTTATGTTACACAATCCGACTCCTATAGCATTCAGTTGAGAATCGATTTGTTAACATAACTAACCAATTTCACGGTCTGTGTTCGCGTTTTTATTAAGTTGCTTTCGCATTGGACATGTGGGACCTCGACTCGTTGGCAGCAATTTTTAGCAAGCAGTTTTATGGTTTAAAATATATTTCTCTTTGGTCTTTGAAGTGGACTTCGTTTGTGATGACCGTGAATTTTATAATTGATTAAAATAAAAAAAAATCGTGAGGGTTTTGTTAAGGGATTTGTGAAAAAAAAAAACGTTTGGCCCAGATAAAAATGCTTTGAATTTTTGTAAAAAATCTGTTGTATTTTCTTACCTGATTGCTGGTAGCCAAAGAGGCTCTTCGATCTACTGAATGAATTTCTAAAACTGGCCCTAGCAAAAGCAATGCTTCACTAAATCTACCACCGAATCGCAATCACGACCCACTGAGGGTAGTGTATTGGCTAGGTTGCACGTCAAACTCTTTGACGTTGAAAAATATCTTAATTCTTCATATGTTAACAATAAAAGTCACTATTACAATTAGCTTATAATTAATAGCTTTATCTGATTTCAAGTTCATCAGGAACAAAGAATTGAGTTTCAGTGGGATTCGCTTTTTGCTATACCTAATTTATAGAAGTATCAAACAATATAGAAGCTTCAAATACAACTTTTAAAATACACTGGATATTGTTTTGAATAATGCTACGTCATAGAAACGCTTTGGCTATGAAGTACTGATTTATCTAAGGAATTACTCGTACCTAACAAGTTCTTAAAAATGAATTTTACAATGATATCATCAAAATCAAATTCATTATCAAATAGAAACTATGGAGAATGCATAATTACTTGTACAGCATATTTTACAGCGTTTCCAAAGATCTTTCCTGCCACGTACCATCCGGCTTTGGAATGAACTCCCCTCTACAGTGTTTTCCGAGCACTATGACATGTCCTTCTTCAAACGAGGCTTGCGGAGAGTACTTAATGGTAGGCAGCGGCTTGGCTCTGTCCCTCGCATTGCTGATGTCCATGAGCGACGGTGACCACTTACCATCAGGTGGGCCGTATGCTCCTCTGCCTACAAAGGTAATAAAATATATATATTAAGAGCTCATAATGCTATCTCATGCATATTTGAGCCGCGAAATTATGATTTATGCCTCTAAGGTCCAAACTCTAAAACCAGACTACACCGAATAAAAAGCATTCGATAAAAAGCTTTATTTTTAATCAACTCAAATCGGAATTTTATATTAGAATATCAAAAGGCTTCGCGTCCTTTAACTTTTCACATAATAACGCTACAAAGTGTTCGTGAAAAATTAAAAAAAATAACCGTTACGCGTTGATAATAAAGCCATTCCAGCGTAGTCGGGGTTTGGAAGGGGATTTTAATTATTTTTGGGTTATACCACTTTATCCGGGACTCTGGGTGCAGAGCCGAATTCAGCCGTCACATATATGGTTAAAAATTTAACATTACGATATTTTTTGGGGGCTTTTCTTCAGATAACTCTGAAATTATACGTTAGATGTACCATTTTGCGCAGAAAATGACCACAAACACGATAATGCTGATGCTTTAGTTAGCTAGTGATGAGATGAAACCTTCTTTGTGGTATGGAAAGCATTAAAAAATGTGACGAATCGCGGCATATGCTAGTGCAATAAGAACTGATGTACTTTTCAAACCATTAAACAATATCATAGAAGCTCTTCAATATTTATAATAGTTTGCCAACTGCCATAACCACAATAATCCTCTATTCAACCATATTGTTATGACCCCCGTGTGATTAATCTGAATACGGCCCTGTTCTCAGTGAACGGTTATGATACCGTTAGAGCTCTGGGTCAAAGATCATTTGCATATAAATATGTTGTTTAAGAACTGTGGGATTGAAATAGAGATTTAAAAGTGTAACAACGAAATGTATACAGCAAGGGATTACAATGAGTTTCTCTCTTTATTTATTCTTCGTTCGAACGGATTAAGCATTTGCATATTCTCGGGAAGGATATTGTTTTTAATATTTCCTAGAGAGTATTGAATAAGGAAAATTTCGGACTGAACATTTTGCTTTTCAGCGTTGAATAAGATATTTTTAATCAAAAAAATCGTGTCTATATAAATGTCTACGTAGGATCCATAATAGTGTATTTCATGTTATTAAATTTAAAGAATAAAAAAAACAGTACTTGTTTTGATAATCTAGTCTCTGTGAATACAAAAGGCTTTGTACAATAATATTGTGTCTCGCCTTTAGAGGCGTGAAGTTAACAATTTCGTTAATGGACTAATCTGGATTTCAATTGTTTCTGGCCTCATAAGCCCAACCTAATATTATAATTAGGTTAAATGTGACTAATATTCCGTTTCTCAACGTAATTTTTTTTAAGTGGCTTTATTTATAAATAACAATTTATACATGAATCATTTTCGGATAAAATTCCTTTAAATAATTGACTTCGTTCAATCATGATTTTTATTTTATTTTTATTGCTTAGATAGGTGGACGAGCTCACACTCCACCTGGTGTTAAATGGTTACTGGAGCCCATAGACATTTACAACGTAAATGCGCCACCCACCTTAAGATATAAGTTCTAAGGTCTCAAGTATAATTATAACGGCTGCCCCACCCTTCAAGCCGAAACGCATTACTGCTTCACGGCAGAAATAGGCGGGGTGGTAGTACTTACCCATGCGGACTCACAAGATTTCCTACCACCAGTGCCACTGCTTACACCCGAGTACTCTCCGCCGATATTAGACTTTCTAGAAACAAAAAACCAATTTCGCTTCGATTGATGTAGTGAAACAGAATATAAAATAAACACTGCTTTATAATTTATTTCTCAGTCTGCAAAGTTCTGAGAAGCGTCTCGGCAATAACAAACGACTTCTCCCAGCGTCCATTCGTAATGTTATTATAAGTATTTCCTGTGTTGCCGTCGTCAAATGCAATTGAATCAGTCCGTTCACTCAACGGAACTGTTTTGTGTGGTAGGTAGCTTTTGTTATTCAATATTTCCTAGGGACAGGGCGTATAATTGTAACCCGGACAATTATATGTCATTGTTCTGTTAATTCCTGCCCGAAACTAGTCACGTGTTCCGGATTTAAGGGTGAAACCGCGACCTCAGGCCTCAAGGCATTCGCATTGAGGCCCCAGTAGCCACTTAATGCCCGGTGATTCGGGAGCTTATTGAGCTAACTAGTGCCAAAAATTGATGACAGGAGAAATGGTGCGGGAGACGTAAAAGTTAGACGCCATATGACATGACGTCTATCTTTTATGTTTGATAAGCCCCGTACAGTGAAACTCGTAACAAATTATTTTTACTGGTGGTAGGACCTCTTGTGAGTCCGCACGGGTAGGTACCACCACCCCGCCTATTTCTGGCGTGAAGCAGTAATGCGTTTCGGTTTGAAAGGTGGGACAGCCGTTGTAACTATACTGAGACCTTGGAACTTATATATCAAGATGGGTGGCGCAGTTACGTTGTAGATGTATATGGGCTCCGGTAACCACTTAATACCAGGTGGGCTGTAGGCTGTAGGTAATAAAAAAAATGTTTTTTTAGCGCATACACTTTGTTTTCTTAAAGGATTTTTTGAGGAGATTTTTTGACAACGTCTTATAATTCGATGGAGCCAGCTGCACGCACGAAAAAATATTACTCATGCGGCGTTACCTCTGAGGCGTTCCATTTAAGGCTTGAAGTGCAAGCGAGAGCGCGCAACGAGCGACAACGAGGCACAATCGGCCTCCGCGTTCGGCAGCGTTCGACATCTGTCTCTCTCCTACTTGAGTGAGCGATGCATCCGCGTGGACAGCTGCTATACAATAATACATTTACATGTTTTCGTCAAGTATGAAGTTCAGTGAAAAGTGAATATGGTGTCAATTGTTTATAGCAACGATAATTGCAATAATTCAAAAATGAAACCATTCCATCAGTATTTTCTTATGACGTTGTCACGTTCAACTATGGTCAGTAAACCGACTTTACAGAAAACCGTTTTTTATTATATTATTTGTTTTATCAACAGAGGCAAGAGCGCAGATCTCGGGACCAACTGAAAAGTATCTGAAGCCGGGATCGACTCTGCGGCTCCAATGTTCCGTTGTCCAAACCACAGAGGCGCCCGCTTTCGTCTTTTGGTATGTACCTTACTAACCATCAACGTGCTTTATCAACGTGAAGTCGATTATAACATGACATTTACGAAAATATACAAATATGTATATCTATACTTCTATACTAATATATAAATCTACAGTGGTTTTTAGGGATGTTCCGTTATAACTAGTCGTCGTGGCCTAACGGATAAGACGTCCGATGCATTCGTGTTGAAGCGATGCACCGGTGTTCGAATCCCGCAGGCGGGTACCAATTTTTCTAATGAAATACGTACTCAACAAATGTTCACGATTGACTTCCACGGTGAAGGAATAACATCGTGTAATAAAAATGAAACCCGCAAAATTATAATTTGCGTAATTACTGGTGGTAGGACCTCTTGTGAGTCCGCACGGGTAGGTACCACCGCCCCGCCTATTTCTGCCGTGAAGCAGTAATGCGTTTCGGTTTGAAGGGTGGGGCAGCCGTTGTGACTATACTGAGACCTTAGAACTATATATCAAGGTGTGTAGCGCATTTACGTTGTAGATGTCTATGGGCTCCAGTAACCACTTAACGTCGGGTGGGCTATGAGCTCGTCCACACATCTAAGCAATAAAAAAAAAAAAAAAAAATACTACTGAATCATGCATTCGATTGACTTGAAACTTGGTATCCATGTAGAAAATATATCTACTTAATGGATAGACAAATATTTATATGAGTCTTGGATTCCCTAATAATAATAACAATAAATAATAATATTAATTTTAAATGCCCAGCGAAGCGAGCGAGTACGGCTAGTAATATATCTTTTTTTAATTTTAATGTTCTTGCCTATGTTTCTTGGAGCTTAAACAAAGCTTTAGTATCATATTGTATTTTAGAAGTTCGCGTCATTTATGAGTAAGCACTATTGCGTTTTATTCTGTAATATCTTTTTTTTTTTTTTTTATTGCTTAGATGGATGGACGAGCTCACAGGCGACCTGGTGTTAAGTGGTTACTGGAGCCCATAGACATCTACAACGTAGATGCGCCACCCACCTTGAGATATAAGTTCTAAGATCTCAGTATAGTTACAACGGCTGCCCCATCCTTCGAACCGAAACGCATTACTGCTTCACGGCAGAAATAGGCGGGGTGGTGGTACCTACCCGTGCGGACTCACAAGAGGTCCTACCACCAGTAAACTCACAAGAGGTCCTACCACCAGTAAAAATCTGTGGTTAGTATCAACGTTAGTTCGAATGGTAAGAAGCTCTTTGACTGGTATCAGTTGCCCTAAGTGATTGTGCTACACGTGTTCACTAAGCACTTCCACAACTGAGAAATATTACAAAACAAATATCACTACGGTCATTTTTAAAAGAAGTAGTTTATGCCCATTTTCGAAACTGTAAATTTTTGTGAATATTAGTCACGTGCCACATACAAGCAAAATACGTAACACCGCTAGCTCAGAGAAAACATATTCTAATAAAATGCAAGTATCACGGAGCTGACCTATTTAGGTCTACAAGAAAATGAATTACACTAAAGGAGCTTTATGGAACAAAAGCGAGGCTTAAAAGCGCAAAGTAAGCTTTGGTTGGTAAAAGCACAGTGAATTGAACAGGCAAATTTGTGTTGAGTTTTTAAAGAGGGAAATTTTAAGTTGGATATTTTTAACTCAGACGGGTTGCTGGCGGTATTCATGGTCCTATGTGATTACCAAAGTCCAAAGGTTAGACCAAAGTATAGAAATGATACCTTAAGACAGGCGTTCCCAAACTTATTTTGTCTACTACCCACTTTGAGAATAAATTATGTTTTAGTGCCCCCCTTTTTTTAACCCACTTAAAAACAACTATAACGAGAACTCAGTCGGTATCTAAGAGTCCTCCTAGATGAAATTACAAATCGCCTACCAAGCCTCCACACAACGCCCCCATTTTTTTCTGGGTCTCTGACCGCCCCCCTTTAGGCCTGCAGAGCCCACAAGGGGGCGTTATAGCCCACTTTGGGAAAGGCTGCCTTAAGACATAAGACGGAAGTATCATTATAATTTTAATGTATCTATTTCACCACTGCGACCAGTATGTTGCGCTTCTCAAATAGGCAAATCATAACTACCCAGTTATGATTTAAATGTGACTTTTCAGAGCGAAAGATAATTGAGGGTAGGGGAGGATAGATATTATTAGTACAGATGGCTTAGGAAGGTCTGCTTCTGCAATGGCTAGAGGTGACCAGAATCATTTAGATCGATTCTGATACCGGAAATTATGATTGTTTGGAGTCATAAGGCAGAAAATTTAACTGAACCCAACACTTGCGTGATCACCACACCGTAATTTTAGTAGTCGAGACAGGTATTAAGAGATCGGTCATTTAGGAATAATGAGATAAGGGTAAGTGAAGGAATACTGGTAGGTACCACCACCACTCTGCGAAATTCTGCTGAAAAACAGTAATGCGTTTTGGTTTGAAAGGAGAGACAGCCGGTATGCTATAAACTCATGTCTCAAGGTGGGTGGGGGCATTTACGTTGTTCATTTCTATAAGCTACGGTAACCACTTAACACCAGGGTGGTTGTGAGCTGATCCATCGATCTAAGCAATAAAAAAAACAAAAACTAATCAACGGACATGATGTAGACCAGGTAACATAAATTTATTCACAATACAGACTTACTAGAATGATGTAACATAATCTAATTCTCTGATTTCTGGATCCTTCCGTTCTGAATACGTCAGCAAAAATATAATCCTACCCAAATAAGGGCGCAATAAATTGATTTAATCAAACATACCAGTCTTGTCTTTAGACATATATTTTGGTTTGGTTTTGGCACGCATCCGATTTGGCAGCGTTTCCACGTCAAAACGCAAATTGGACTATAAACGGACAGGGGTTGGGAATCGGTGGGCGAGCTTTCAGTATCGAAAGCTTTTATTTTCGGAAGCTTCATGACAAGCTCCGGTTTTAGTATTCGGACATTGGATGACACTTATTTTAGGGTGCGGTCAAATAGAAAAAAGCTCTGCCGTGTTCCTTAAAATTTACTTAAATTAAGCAAATACAAGGTTCGTTTTTGTACATAATATCAAAGTTTTGTCTTATTAATCTTCAACTTAAGCATCATCTGTCCTGAGGCAGAAGATCGAAAAACCAACTTTTAACATGGCATTGACAGTAGTCTGATTAACTGTTGTTCAGGGCACACAAGTACATATGGACGCAAACGCCACTATTGGCAATAATTAACATAATAATATACTCGTATAGTTCATACATGATCTTAGCTCCTTCTAGCTACTTTTACTACACACTCTTAACTCATATCTAGTCCTTAATGCCTTTGCTTTTCATAAAACTTTACTGGAAGCATTATAAGTCCACATCGGTGTCCATCCTGCCTGTTTTTCTGCCCAGCTTTAGTATGTTCCAGCATGAACAGTAAGATATTGGTTTAAATATATTACTCTATTGGATAACAGAAATCACGTTGCCCATGGGCCCTGGTGACCAATTCTAATACTAAGTATACCATAGACTCGTCTGTCAACCAAACCACTAATGTCCACTTCGAACTGACGTTAATACCATATTGAACTCTTCATCAGGTACCACAACAGCAGAATGATAAACTATGACGCGGAGAGGGGCATCAACGTGACCACGGATCCTGCTCAGCGCCTCTCAGATCTGCTGATCCCGGCTGCCAGTGCCTCTCACGCTGGCAACTACACCTGCGTACCGAACAACGCGGTACCAGCGAGCATATACGTCCATATCTTTAACGGTGAGCATCTATGATAAGTCGACGTCGCCCAAAACACGTCATTACGGATCCTCCCGATCCATTAACGGTGCTTTTAGGTACCACAGGCACCGGTCACCGTCCTCACCGAATCCGTCGCTTGCGATGAAGGGCTCGACGAGCGAATTAACCCACAGAAACAGCCCACTGAGTTTCTCGCCGGATTTTCTCAGTGGGTCGCGTTTCCGATCCGGTGGTAGATTCTGCGAAGCACTGCTCTTGCTAGGGCCAGTGTTAGCACCACTCCGGTTTGGGCCCCGTGAGTTCACCTACACGTTAGGGTGAAGCTGAAATAGACTCTCAAGGCTATCAGCATAGGTAGGAAAAAAATCTACGATAAAACCATTCAATATTTTTAAGATTATTTTCATGAAGACATTTAAATTTATTTGACGCGAAATCGCGTACGACTTGCCTAGCGCCACCAAACTCAACTTCATATTAAATGTGAACTTACTCAAAAGGGTGACCTGAAAAATGGTCTCTTGGTCGTTTGTGTTAAGACATCAAGCATTATAAATTTCCACTTATTACATTTCTATATTAGATACACCCTGTTTCATTTTAAGCAATCCAAATGCTCGACATTCAATGGCTGACCGTTTCGCTTTGAGCCCACCTATTATAGTAATCGATACTTTAATGACATGCTTCGATTTACTTCACTGAAGTCGTAGGCTAAAAGATAAGATTTATGTATTTTCCTTGTAATTGATACAAATACCTAGAGAGGTTTTTTTTATTGCCTAGATGTGTGGACGAGCTCACAGCCCACCTGGTGTTAAGTGGTTACTGGAACCCATAAACATCCACAACGTAAATGCGCCACACACCTTGAGATATAAGTTCTAAGGTCTCAGTATAGTTACAACGGCTGCCCCACCCTTCAAACCGAAACGCATCACTGCTTCACGGCAGAAATAGGCGGGGCGGTGGTACCTACCCGAGCGGACTCACAAGAGGTCCTACCACCAGTAATTACGCAAATTATAATTTTGCGGGTTTGATTTTTATTACACGATGTTATTCCTTCACCGTGGAAGTCAATCGTGAACAATTGTTATGTACGTATTTCATTAGAAAAAGTGATACCTGCCTGCGGGATTTGAACACCGGTGCATCGCGAGATACGAATGCATCGGACGTCTTATCCTTTAGGCCACGACGACTTCAAAGTTAAGTTAAGTTTAAGTTAAGTTAACACTTACTCGCTAATTTGTATTCGTTCCACTCGATGTTACTTACTGGTAGGACGTCTTGTGAGCCCGCACGGGTAGGTACCACCGCGCTGCCTATTGCTGCCGTGAAACAGTAATGCGTTTCGGTTTGAAGGATGGGACTGCCGTTGTTAAAATTGAGACTTAGAACTCATTGTCTCAAGGTAGGTGGCGGCATTTAAATTGTAGATGTCTATGGATTCTGAGGAAAACTTAACACCAGCTGGGTCGTATCTCAGTCTATAGGTACTATTGGAATCCTAGTTTGGGATTTGGTCGTGGGTGGTATTCCCAAAAACTATATTAACTAATGAAAGATAAATAATTTATATCACAAAATAAAAATATATTAATCGTAATATTTTTACGTCAAGCTAATAAACAAGTGGCTAATCGTTGTATTAATTTGATGGGATTTGAAATGATTCATTTACATTTTGACCACAAATGACGTCATAACTCTCACGTCGTCATACTCTTGAGCTCAGACGAAAGATGACTCTTATGGTGCATTATTATTATCAGCTATTGCATAACAAAATTGATAACTCCACTGCACTGGATTCAGTGTCGTTATATGTGCCTGATGGCTACATGCGCGGATGTATGTGTGGAGGGGCGCGTCGCCAGCGGCAGCTTCTTAGTACTCTACGCACGCACGCGCGTACGCAGCACACCGCTAACTCCCCGACGCATCGTGCTGTCTCGCTACTCAATGGCTTGCTAGCCTATGCTCCGGAAATGGATATATTCCATGATGGTTTGCAGCGATTTATTGTTGTTGTTAGGAATTACTTAAGTTAATTATTAATACCTTACAAATGTTTTGGTTTATACTGTTAATTTGTAAGTAGACTAAATAAATAAATAAGCAATGATGGCCTGTTCAGCAGAGTTTTGTAAAATTTAAGAAATAGATTTCCATTAATATCAAGGCCATTGACACCAGTGGTACATAATTAGTCTAAAACTTAATATTGTTTACTGAGACGCTTGTAATCTGAGTCACAGAAAAATCAAATAACACTGTAAGAAAAATAATTTCATTTTATTGGGCGAAACAGCTAAGCCCAGCACTTCAGTACTCTAAGCCTTTTGTGGAAAGGGATTTTCGTATGAAAATGATTTTACTTAGACATTGACCTCGACCTTTGACATTGGCAACAACTGGATATACTTAAATAAAGAAGTTAATATACAAAATGAAATTTCAGCTTGAATAAATCCCTGAATTGTCTGTACACTGTATAAGAAAAGTTCACTAAACGATGATTTTCAATTGAAAATTAATAACTAGACAACATCAAGGCTTTCTTTGAAATATTTTACTCAAATAATAAATTTAAAATTTAATGTAACAAAATTAAAAGTACAATTGGAATTCATACGAAGTTGGTTTGTTTGCTACGTTTTCAAATCTTAACTATTCAACTCAGCATGGTTAGGTTTTGCATGCACGTTGTCCAGGCTACAAAATAGGACATCGGATAGACCTTACATCCAAACAAATAGTATTCCAGAGGGATACATTTTTTTCTACATTAACTCGAGTAAAGTCGCGCATAAGAACTAGTGGCGAATAAACTATCACAAAATATTATAATAACACTTATTTGGTCGGTTCGAAGAAAAATTTTCAGATCTTTTTTTTTTCATTGCTTTGATGTGTGGACGAGCTCATAGCCCACCGGGTGTTAAGTGGTTACTGGAGCCCATAGACATCTACAACGTAAATGCGCCACCCACCTTGAGATATAAGTTCTAAGGTCTCAAGAATAGTTATAAAATAAAATAAATAACAAAAGCCAGTATTTCCTTATCCTTAACTTTCGTTTTAAATGTGGTATTTATTTGTTAATGTTTAGTTAATTATTAATGTTTTGATTATTGTCTAAATGTTCGTAAGAGCTAGTTTTTGTTATTGGATATGGACCCCTCCTCGGGTGAGGGCTCCTCCAGTCCTTTCCACTGGTCTCTGTCCTTGCCGATAGTTTACCAGTCCTTTCCTGTTATTTCGGTTATGTCGTCAGCCCATTGTCTTTTCGGTCTCCCTACCCTTCTTTAGCCAATTGGCCCTTCAAGTATAGTTACAAGTAAACAATTGACCGAAGAATGCTACAATTTGATGTAAAATTATATATCACATACTACTGCATTCTCCATTTACAAATTCCACAGCACCTACAAAATGAACCTTGTTAAAATAATCCCAAAGTCGGTGTTCAAATACTTTCCAAAACGCCCGCACGTTTTGTGCCCGTCTTCGAAACACTAACACCTCATGGCTGGACCCTTGTCTGATCGAGGGCGCTCCAACTTCCGGGTCCCCTTTAATTGAACGTCAAACATCTCAAAGTATTTGTTGTAATCCATATTTCGGGAGAGGGCCCTCGAGGTACAATGAAGAAGGTAATTGAGCCAAAGGATCTTCAGTGAAAACTTCACTTGTTGATTAGTTCAAACAAAACGATAGCTCGGATGTGTTTTGCTACAATTTTGTTTGAAAATAAATAAATAATTGATATATTGTTATTTGTATAATGTGACCACAGTAGCAATTTTTCTAATGAAATACGTACTTAACAAACGTTCACGATTGACTTCCGCGGTAAAGGAATAGCATCGTGTAATAAAAACCAAACCTGCAAAATTATGGTTTGCGTAATTACTGATGGTAGGTGAAGTGTGGGGCAGCCGTTGTAACTGTACTGAGACCTTAGAACTTATATCTCAAGGTGGGTTGCGCATTTTCGTTGTAGACGTCTATGGGCTCCAGTAACCACTTAACACCAGGTGGGCTGTGAGCTCGTCCACCCATCTAAGCAATAAAAAAAATAAAAAAAGTAACCTTTGTTTTAATTTTCCTTACAAGCCATCTGATGTCAATTGGCGACTACAAACCAGTGTGTCATGTTTATTACATTATCGACATATTATCCTTAGCCCATAGTCGTCCTCTGCTGGTAATAGGCCTCTCCCAATCCCCACCACTGAGCCCGGTCTTCGGCTTACCCTATCCATTTCGTGCCGGCCAACCTTCGAAGGTTATCGCACCACCTAGACGGGGGCGTTAGTCGTTACGTCAGCCGATGTGCAGTCTCCACAAAAAAAGCCATCTGCTTCAGCGACCGTCAAGATATAGGTCCAGCTCACTGCCACTTCAGCTTGTCGACTGTTCAGCTACGTCCATGACCTCTCCGTCAAATTTGGTTTTATCCTTCAGAGAATCTATAAAACGTTTGTAATTTTTGAAGTGAAACTTCTTTAGAAACGTTGTGATTTCAAACTCGATGAAACGAAAAAATAAGTCCATATTTCTATTTAGTTTGTTATCAACAGATGTCGCTGCACGTAAATTCAACATTTCCTGAATCGCGGTGACGAGATGTTACACAGTTAACAGAGGTTCTCGTATTTCTCTTGCTCAATCATACTTACCTAGCGTAGGGATACCGTGATCATGCAGGCAGTTCCCGCAGGGTGAGGCTGCTCCATTGCACTGCGGAGTGGTTGACCCTTGCGGTTATTTTCATTATTTATATAAGTTTCACTTCTACCGTGTGTGACTTGCCAACACACACACAAACTTTTTTAAATTACAGTTTTATTGCTGATTGTACTTAGATACCGTATTCCGAATGGTTTTTCATGATCCTTAAAAAATACCTATAAAAGCTATTTTTTATTAAATTAAACCTATATGACTTTCTTTTGTATAAGTTTATACTAAAATCCCCTTGCCCTTTTGGATATATTCATTAATTG